GTCTGGCCTTGCTGACCCGCCGTCCTAGAGCATCGAAGTGCAATGCACAGGGACTACTTGTAAAGCTGAAGTTGTGGTAGGGAGCAAGAGCCGCATAAGCCGATGCCTCCTCTGTAGTGCTGGCTCCTGTCCCATGCGGAGAGATACCAACTAGACTCCACCTCTTATCCCAGCTAGCGGTCTCCAGAGTGGTGCCAGGAGCAGGAAAGAAGAGATTGTCAGGTCAGTGTGAAGCAATACACTGGGCATAATAATATACGGCTGCCTTCACACTGATGTGCTACGGTTTACCTACACCGTGGCTTTCCTGTGGGTTTGTTGTGCTTAGCATAGACTTCTATTATATCCTGTGCGTTTGGTGCACTTTCTGAAAGCACACTAACAGTCCTGAATGAAGGAGTTTTGGTGTGCTTTCAGAATGCGCACCACACCTGCAGGATATCAAAAAGTTTCAAGATTAGTTTTGTAACACATTAACAGATAGCAGCATGCACAGTCACAGGGAGCACCGACCTTCATAACTCAGTGTTCCAAAAGACATTGTCCTGTGTATATCGGGAGCTGTGCAACTGGTGCTATTCTGACCACGTGTGTTACCACGTCTGCTATTTCATCATGGCAAGTTAGAACAAACAGCAAACATGAAGTTCTGTGTGAAACTGGCCAAATCTGCCACATCGACGTTTGACACGATTCAGCAATTTTACAGCGATGCTGCAATAAGTTGTTCAAGGAGTTTTGCATGGCACATGCACTTCAAGAGTAGAAGAACATAACTGAAAGATGATGAGAAATTAGGAAGACCTTCGATGAGCTTAACTCCCAAAAATGCCCTCTTCTCAAAAATGAAGATCCAGCTCAAAGGTCGCTGCTTTAACAACATTGCGGAGATACAGCAATTTGCCCAGCGGTGCAAGTGTGCTTGACAGGTGTAAAGAGGTGATATGTTGCCTCCTCACCAACTGATTTAAACTGATTGCTGTGCAATGCACACGATTGTGACACGGTAGTATGGCAATTAGAGGTTTAAATCAGGTGTGGGGAGGCGACACTGGGCGACACTGTGCCGGTGATCTTTGACTTCTTCCATGATGTTCAGGTAGATCTACACCTCTTTATGTTAGCCTACCCCTGATCTAAACCATTCCATTGTAGTTCTGGCTGTATGTTTTGGGTTGTTGTCCTGCTGGAAGGTGAACCTCCACCCCAGTCTCAAGTCTTTTGCAGACTCTAACAGGTTCTCTTCTCCACGGTGGGGATGGTGTGTTCAAGGCGATGTGCAGTGTTAGTTTTCCACCACACACAGCGTTTTGCTTTAAGGCCAAAAAGTTACATTTTAGTCTCATCTGACCAGAGCACCTTCTTCCACATGATTGCTGTGTCCCACACATGGCTTCTCATAAACCAGACTTCTTATGGCTTTTTATTCAGCAATGGCGTTCTTCTTGCCACTCTTCCATAAAGGCCAGATTTGTGGAGTGCATGACTTAAAGTTGTCCTGTGGATAGATTCTTCCACCTGTGCTGTGAGTCTCTGCAGCTCCTCCAGAGTTACCATGGGCCTCTTAGCTGCTTCTCTGATTAATGCTCTACTTGCCCAGCCTGTCAGTTTAGGTGAACGTTCATGTCTTGGTAGGTTTGTAGTTGTGCCATACTCTTTCCATTTTGGATGATGGATTGAGCAGTTCTCCATGAGATGTTCAAGGCTTGGGATATTTTTTTTTTCATAACCTAACCCTGCTTTAAACTTCTCCACAAGTTTATCCCTGACCTGACTGGTATGTTCTTTGGTCATGATGCTGTTTGTTCACGAATGTTCTCTAACAAACCTCTGAGGGCTTCACAGAACAGCTGTATTTATACTGAGATTAAATTACACACAGATGGACTCTATTTACTAATTAGGTGACTTCTGAATGTAATTGGTTGCACTAGATTTTAGTTAGGGGTATCAGAGTAAAGATTTTAGTTAGGGGTATCAGAGTAAAGGGAGCACGCCACACTTTTCAGATATTTATTTGTAAAAAAACATTTAAAAACCATTTATCATTTTCCTTGCACTTCACAATTATGTGCCACTTTGTGTTGGTCAGTCACATAAAATCCCAATAAAATACGTTTTTGTTTGTAACATGACAAAATGTAGAAATTTTCAAGGGGTATGAACACGTTTTCAAGGCACTGTATAACACTTGATGGTTACCTCTATGAGATCAATTGACAGGAAGTCAGCTGTGTGCTAGAATATATTTATACGTAGGAGTCACACAAATCTAGAAACTGCTGGCATGGGAAGCATACATGTCTAAACGCGATGGTTGCTGTTAGCTTACATTTTACATGCAACTTAAAGATATAACAAACTGCCGTAGTTCACAATTAAACAAAATAAAATACAGTGAAATCCCCCTACGACTTTCTGCTATGTCACTGGCGCACACAATACCTATATACAGTAAATGCAAACTCTTTCTTTGATATCAACAAGGCTTGACGATTATTTTTAAGCCCAGAAGGTAGATGCCTAGTTAATGTATCCAATGGCTTCAATATGGATAATGAAAAAGATAGACAAAGACATAACAAAAAGGAGACGCAAGTGGGCGCCATATTAAGTGCAGTATGAAGACCACCTGTATACAGCTTACAGCATACAGTATTAGCACTCTTTTAGGTATTAGGCTACTTTCCCAGGAGTTTTTGGAGTGTCTTTACGTTAAAAAAAAACACCTGAAAAGCTCAAGAAAAATGCTTCCCTGTGTATGTGAATGTATATCTATGTATGTTTTCACACTGAGGCGTTGCGCTTGCGGTGCGGTGTAAAAACTCCTGCTTGCAGCATCTTTGGGACATGAAAAAAAACGCCCTAAAAATGCCTCTTTCCATTGAAATCAATGGAAAACGCCTGAAAAAAGCGCCTCAAAAATGCCTAAAAGCACCTCAAAAACTCCTCTGAGAATCGTTTTTGGTGCAGTTTTCAAGTCATGTGTTCTTTAAAAACGCTCAGAAAGCCCGGCAAAAGTGCAGTAAAACCACCTATGCATTTTTGCAGCGGATCAGTGTGAAAGTAGCCTTAATCTTAATTACATGTGGTCCCCTTTAGGATGGGCATTCTGCTTGTGTATATGGGATTAACTCACATTAGTAGTCTGTTTCTAGGTCCTGCCCCCCCAATCAGGTTTGAGAAAAAGCAGATACCTCGAAACACGTTACCATGCCCATCTGCGGCAGCCTGACTCCCTGCTGGCATCACCTCTGGTCCAGCTCCTTCTGTGTTCTAAATTGGTTAACGCGGCTTCGAGCTGGGATCCTCTACCACCTCTTGAGCATGCTGTGGAGCAGGAGCACCACGCTACATGGGAATGACTACTGGAGACTCGTAGCATCTTGCCACAGATTATCAGATATGCCTGTCTGTTCTACATACATGAAAGTTGCTTGCTGACCTTTATTAAATACAGGTGGTCTTCCTACTGCACCTAGTTTGGCCCCCCTTGTGTCTCCTTTTTGTATCTCTACAGAGTTGTTGCTCTGCTCTATGGGGTACTGCCCCTGATGCTGTTAAGTTGCTTTTTTTATAGGTTAGTATGGACATTTTATACTATGGATCTATTGCTTATGGACTTTATTTTTAGGAGTTTATTGTATATTTCTCATTCCTCCTGCACCATTTAAATTTTTCTTTACACAGACAAACACAATATGCAACATTAACCACTTCACACCTGGCCTACTGTAATAAAACAGCACGGTTATCCCGCATATGACCATATGTCATATGACCTCCTCCCTCTTGCATACAGGAGTGTTTTAGAGAAAAACTGGAGCTGCACAGCCTTTCATCAAACGTAACTTTCAGGGAAAAAAAAAAAAAAATACTTAATGCATTTTAATGCAAACAAGTACAATATAAAACCCACTTTTGTGGTGACCTATAAAAGATAATGTTGCACCGAGGAAATAGATACCAAACATGTCAAGATTTAAAAATTTTTACGCCCTTGAAATGGTGACAAACTATGGTACCTAAAAATCTCCATAGACAACGCTTCAAAGCATTTACAGGTTACCAATTAAGAGTTAAACATGAGCTCTGGCGCTAGAATTATTGCTCTCACTCTGATATTTGCGACAATAGCTCACATGTGGTACAATTACTGTTTACATGTGCGTCTGCATTTGCACGCAAGGACAGGGGTACTTTAAAAAAAAAATTATTTTATTTAAATGTATTTTTAACACTTAATATTTTTTTATTCAACTTTATTGCTATGACAAGGGATGAACAATATGCCTTGTGATAGCTTGGGCAGTGACAAGTGCTCTTTATTGAGAAATCTATTAGGCCCCTGACCCCTCCTCTGCCTTCCAAGGCTGAGATTGGTTTGACTGGATGTTTCCTTGACAGATACTAGCCTGGTAAGCACTGAACTGAAACCAAAAGTTTCAAATCCTTATTGTTTCCATCATCATTCATCACAGAGGAGAGGAATAAAAGGATGTTCCTCCTTCTCCTCTGTGGGAAGCTGACGGGATCCCAGGTGGAATGGTAGAGCCCAGGAATGGCAGCAGACAGTGGTGGCAGAAGGGGGTGCCTTTCCGAGCCCCATAAAAGTGATCACTTGTACCTGAAAGTCAGTCGCCAGCTCTAATACAATGACACCAGAGTCATGGCTGCTATGATCCTGGTATAACCACTTCTTTTCCAGGACATATATATACATAAGCTGGAGGGGAAGTGGTTAATGGCTGGTTACACTCCCTTTAACGTGTCTGCTTTACATTTTTCTTCTGTTAAAAATTTCAGTACCAAATTGCTTTCTTTTTTAAAAAAAAAGAAAGCAATTTGGTACTGAAATTTTTAACAGAAGAAAAATGTAAAGCAGACGCGTTATAGTTTTAACAGAGGAAAAAAAGAAAAAAAGAAAAACAGAAAATGACGGACGCAAGGCGGTGATCTCATTCTGGGAGGACGTCATATGACGTCCTCCAATTCTAACCACGCATGCGCAGCTCCGGGAGCACACAGCGTGGCGATCGGCGGTGCGCTCTGTCCCTCGGACACAGCGGATCACCGATCAACAGAAAGAGCCAAAGATGTTGGCTCGGTCACGTGATCAGCTGTGTCCAATCACAGCCGATCACAAGTAAATAGGGGGGAAATCGCCATTTCTCTCCCCACAAGCTGTCACACTGAAAGCTCGTGAGGAGAGGAGAGCCGGTCGGCATTCCTCAGAGGGGACATGTACACAGATCATCAGAGCACTGATGATCAGTGTGCCCTGATGATCTGTGTAGCCCCAGCAGTGCCACCTACCAGTGCCCATCAGTGCCACATTTCAGTGCCCATTCAGTGCCAAATTTCAGTGCCCATCTGAGCTGCCTTTCAGTGTCACCCATCAGTGCCACCTATCAATGCCAGTCAGTGCCACCTATCAGTGCTGCCAATGAGTGCCACCTATCAGTGCCAGTCAGTGCCGCCTATCAGTGCCAGTCAGTGCTGCCTATCAGTGCCAGTCAGTGCCGCATGTCAGTGCCACCTATCAGTGCCATATATGAGTGCTGCCTTTCAGTGCCCATCAGTGCCACCTACCAGTGCCTCCTCATTAGTGCCCATCAATGCCACCTATCAGTGTCCATCAGTGCAGCCTATCAGTGCAGCCTCATTAGCGCACATCAGTGCAGTAGAAAAATCACTTATTTACAAAATTTTATAACAAAAACTAAGCAAAAACATTTTTTTTTCAAAATTTTCAGTGGTTTTTGGCTTGTTTAAGAAAAAATAAAAAACCCAGAGGTGATCAAATACCACCAAAATAAAGCTCTGTCACAAAAAAATTATAAAAATGTCATATGGGTACAGTGTTGCATGACCGCGCAATTGTCATTCAAAGTGCAACAGTGCTGACAGCTGGAAATTGGCCTGGGCAGGAAGGGGGTAAAAGTGCCCTGTAGGCTAGCGGTTAAAGAGAGTCTAATTTATGATGACTAGTATGACATTATTTGCACCGATAATTCTCTCTAGAATTTATTCTTGAAGTAAACAACACAGTCAGACACAGAAGTTAAACGTGTGCGAAAACCCATATTATTTCTATTTTCTGAGAAGAATTTAAAATCGGGAACAGAACAGCTAAAGGGAGTCTAAATCCAACTTAATTATTTTGCAGGACTCTAGAGGCTATAGCACAGTCAAGAGAACTTCCAACATGACACATGTTTATTTAAAATGTATTTAAACCAAAACCTTCTGTTTGTATTGTAGATTCATCAACTAAAAGGTAACTGACAACGATTGCTAAAACCTTCAAAAAAGAAAGTAACAACCCTAGTAAAAAAAAAATCTTCAGATTTGTTTGTATAATTATGTACTTCCACTCCACAACTACACACCGTAGAACTGTCAGGGCACAATATGAAAAAACAAAACAGAAAAATAAACAGTACATTTTCCGATGTATCCCCTTAAAGACCGTGCAGGGACAGAAAAATACTGGTTGATCTGCCAGAAATGTACTCGACTTCTAATATCCTCTTGTGGAATTATACCACGTGTCTTTTTTGTGAACTGAAATAGCAAGAAATGGTGTCAGACCTGCCCAGTTGTCAGGTGTTAAAGTGGTACTAAACCCAGGACCCTGCTTTTACTATATCTGGTCTCCCACAGTACACAGAACATGGAAATGCAATTATTTTAGTAAATATAAACTGCTAAATACCTTTTCTCATCAGCAGTTATAGCAGTCTTGTGACTACAGCACAGCACTGGTTAAAGCTTGTAGGAGGAGTTTTCTTTCTGCTCTAGGAGGATGTAAAACCCCTGAACTCTGTCTGGACAATGCTGATTGGCCCTGTGCTAATCACATGCACTCTACCAAGAAAAAAAAAACCTGTAGCAATACAAACTAAACTGAGCATGTGCAGAAGGGCTACGGGTTCAGTTTGTCTCATTAGCGTGGACATTTGAACAAGAGGAGGGGCAGAAAAGTCAGGATCAAACAGCCTTTTTACACAATGCAGAGGATTATCCCCTTAGGTCCCACAGTGAGTATATAACAAGCATGCTTTACTGCGTATACAGACTGATTTTACTGTTGTGGGTTTAGTAACACTTTAAATGACTGCTTGCTCTGCAGAGCAAGATAAATGTGAGGACTCCTTGTAATAAACAGGAAAATGTGCCCAAGACATCTCTGAACTTTTTTACATGGTCAACTATTTTTTGTTGATCATGCTTACCTTTAACTTTCCTAGGCACCATTCACACAGCAATTTAAGCCTTACTCCATCAAGAATCAGCATTTCTCAGTAGTGGATATACAAAGGCTTTTCCAAATCAGCCAAAGCCAGCAGCTTGTGCAAATCAATGACAGGCATGGCAGCTGTTTGCTTGTACCCACACATCCTAGTGGTTATATGCGATTAGGGACAGATGAGCGACTCTGAAATGACGTTTTTTATTAATAAAATGCTCCTTTCCCTTTTTTTGTTCATTCAATGTTTTTCCACTCCTTCCACTTTTTTTCATGTACTCTCCGGCAACTGTTGCACATCATTTCTCAGGAAGTGTTTCTGGGCATTAACAAGAGTGGAACATGCTCAGGCAATATAGCACAGTCGCTTGGGAGGGCTTGTGACACGGTGACAATCTAGAAAAGCAGTTGGGAAACAGGAACAGAGCGCTGGCACCCCATAATAGGAAGTGCCTGTACAAGGACCTTCATGGCAGTATAGGCTGGTGTTATTTCAATGAAAAACTACAGATTTAAAAACATTGACAATGCGTTTTTAAATATTCTAACATATTAAAGCTGGTATGAGCGCGGGAGAACTGACACTGCTGCAGTATCACGTGTAAGTTAGCAGCAATGCTCACAGCTTATAATATAAAGATGCTACACTCCTGTCAGCCTGCATGTCGAATGGAGATGGAAAGTGGCCGCAGCCTAGGCTCCTACTTGGCCATGGCCTCTGACCCATTTCACCCCACTACAGGGCTTAGTCATAGAGGATTTGCGGAGTACTTTGGATGGGTGGTTAGAGCTGTGCTGTTTAACCACTTCCAGACCGGACACTTTTACCCCCTTCCTGACCAGGGCAATTTTCAGCTTTTAGCGCTATCACACTTTGAATGACAATTGCGCGGTCATGCAACACTGTACCCAAATGAATTTTTTACCATTTTTTTTAGATAGATAAAGCTTTATTTTGGTGGTATTTATTCACCGCTGGGATTTGTATTTTTTTTGCTATGTAAATTTGAAATTTTGTAAAAAAAAAAATTTTTTAAAAAAAAAAGTGTTTTTTTTTATAAAATTTTGCAAATAAATAATATTTCATCATAAATCTTAGCCAAAATTTATTCCGTTATCTTTTTAGTTAAAAAAAAAAAATCCAAATTAGTTTATAAGCAAAAATTATAATTTTTAACACATTTTTTTTTACATTTTTATTATTATTTTTTTATATTTTTTTTTTTTTACATACTGTCACCCTAGCAGTACAGTGTCACCATGGTGACACTGTACTACTTGTGGGGTGATAAAGATTTTTTTTTTTTTTTTTTTTTACACTGATTGCTTTTACACCCATATAGGATGTAAAAGCAATCATTTCTCTTTCTCTCTGTGTGCATTCCTGCACTCATTGAGAAATACAGAGTGAGCTCTGATTGGTCACAGCTTGTCACATGGTACAAGGCTTTTGTGAATAGCCTTGTACCATGTGACCTCTGTGATCATTCACAGATTTCACACATAGTAAGCAATGATGTCACAAGTGACATCTTGCTTACTACTTTGCATGTGATCACTGATTGGCCAATCAGTGATCACATGATCGGGACCTCGTACAGAGGTCCCGTCCGACGATCGGTGTTTCACTGTGTCCGGAGGACACAGCGGGAACCGGATCGCGGTGCTGCGCGCTCCCAGGGAGCGCGCACAAGCAGGGTGCGGGGAGGCCGTTTATAGACGGCCACCCGACCCTGCACTGCCACCGTCCGGCCGTTTATATACAATGGCCAGTCGGAAGTGGTTAAGGACCCTTTTCACACTATAGAAACGCAGTCCAGAATCATTCCAGATGCATTTCCGCAATAGCGTTTTTGATGCATTACGGTGCATTTTTTACCTGATCCAGTGTGTTTTTTTGCATTCCAGTTAATTTTTTCCCCTCTTTGTGTTCTTGGTGCGTTTTTTGATGCTCTTTACCACCTTTCAGTACAGTTCTGTGCAGAAAAAAATGCAGCCTGTTCTACTATTTTTTCTGCAACCAGAATGCACTGAAATTGCAAGCACTGATGTGAACTATGACATTGTCAACCATATAACCTACTTTCTGTGCGTTTTGGATGCAGAAAAAAGCAACTGAAATGCATGTAATGTGAACTGGCCCTAAGACTTTTTAACTTTAAGTTTAGCTGACTTTAATATCGACAATATATAACTTTGTTGCCAGCTGCCTGCCCCACCCACTCTTAAACACATTGCTGTCAATGTATTATTGCTTGATTCTAAAGGCTTACTTTTTTTTAAAAGAAAAAAATAACACATTTTTCTGCTGTGTGCAGTGGTTTTGCTCAGAGCAGCCCAGATCCTCCTCTTCTCGGGTCCCCTGCCAAAGTTCCTGGCCCCTCCCTCCAGTCGGGTGCCCCCACAGCAAGCAGCTTGCAATGGGGGCACCCTCTGCTCCGTGTGTCCATTCACACACGGAGCTGCAGCTCTTCCTCGCCTCCTCACTCTTTTAGTCCCGGGATAGCTGAGACTCGAGTGCACATTGCTGGATTGTTAAGGGGCTTAGGTGAGTATTAGGGGAGGCTGGAGGGGGGGGGGGGATTGTTGCACAGAGAATGATTTTTACCTTCATGCTTCAAAACCTTGAGCCTTTAGAAGCACTTTAAATAAATTCCATCCCACAAGATAAAATGACATTTGGTTTTGGGAAAAAAAAATTTTCTTACAAACCTATATTTGTAACCTATCAATTTTTAGAGCCATCTCAAAATTATAACTCATTATAAACCACCTTAAAGCCTGTTCTAAATCTACATCCTAACTGGATGACATTTAGTTTGTTAAAGAACCATGTTCCATAAACAAATCTCAGCTTAATTTTCATAAAACACCTTTTTACTGATTTTAAATCCATTTCTTTGCAGCACTCCTGATCTTACCCAGCCACTTCAGCCATTGTAGATCATCATCTTGATAATGACAAAATTTGGACCAAACACACACAATGTTTGCTGCCACAGCCACGTTTAAGCCTGGCACACACAAGATGTTTTTTTTATTTTTTTTCAACCCAGCGGACTGAATGAAGAAAAAACAGAGATCACTGTACTAACACAAGTGATGTTAGTGTGGCGATCTCCCCTACTGAGCTATTGTGTTATGTCGGGGGACTGCCCCTGCCACCCTCTTGAACACGCTGATCAGTCATTGGCTGTGAATGCGGATCAGATGCCGGTCGGATTATGATGGTTTTCCAGCATGCCCATTCGACAGACACTGGTTGTAAGACTGACTTCTGTCGGACAGGTAGCGG